TGACTCATGTGAATAAAGCGCACTTTCCTAACTGGTACTGATATCTCTCTCCGTTTTTTTTCCCCTTGTGCTGTCAAGCAAGCAAGTATTGGGATCGGCTTCATAGCCACCTCCCCCCCCCCCCCCCCCTCCTCCTCCTTCCGCCCACCCTACCTACCTATCTATCTACAATCCAGCAGTACAGAGTACAGGTTAGATGTCGATACAACACACTTTCAACTCCATCCATCCATCCATCTAGTCCAATATATATATATTCTAAGGCAAGCGTTATAGATCAAGCTCTCTCTCATTCATTCATTCATTCCCTCCCTCCCACTAAATCCAGAGCCGAGCCGAGCCGAGTGTATTCGTTGCTTAAGCCCCGAGACAATAGGTGCTCGGTAGGCGAAAGCGAAAGCGGGGGAGAGGTAGGTGAGTGTGGATTGAGGGAATGTGGATTATGGAATGGTTTTGGTTTTGGGATTGGGATCGGGATCGGGATTGAAAGCGCGCTTGGGAGGTTTTCTGTGCTTGGGCTTTTTAAAGGGGGGTTCATTTCGTTGCTTTTCGGAACTGGGTTTGGCTTTTTGGGGGTTGGGGATTGGGTTATGGGGATGTGGAGATGTGGGGATGTGGAGATGGTGTGGACGGGGTAAAGTCACGGATGGGGGAGTGGCTGTCGTGGACAGCAGTGGCGGAGCTGGATGGTATGGGTGGGATTAGGGCGTGTTTGGGCACGGATTTTTGTTGTCGGAGGTGTCCGGTGATATGAGTGCGAAGAGCTAAGCGAGATGCAGGTGGACGAAGTTCATTACTATAATGGCGCCAAAGAAGTCGAAGGGTACATGGATTCTTCGCCTCTGTTTCATTGCCTGAATACTCTTGAGGATCCCACTGGCCCCCCTCTATCAATTTGACAGGGTAGTTGTCGAGATGCATCAAGACATGCCCTTAGATATGCCCTCCGTTCTCCGAGAATCTCAAGCTGCGTCGTCAGTTAGATATATAACTTCGGCTTCATTGAGAACAGTAATACCAAGTCGGTACTAGACTCCGGACGTCAGGAGTGTAGTGCTTGATTGGATGGAGGCGGCGGTTGATCTCGTGTAGTCATCCAAACCTGGATCGGCTCAATAGGATACTCGAGTCACGATATATCATCTTTCAAGATCCCATATCAGCCTATGTACTGCAGGTTGCTAGCCACTGTCAGTAGCTGTATCCATCCGCATCAGGGTCTGATCACCTACCTTGACTCCGGCTTCGCTCACCTGGACTCCTCTCAATTTCCCGAAGCGGCCACTGTATCCATGGCAAGTAATCATTCTGAATCAATTGATGGATCTTCCGGAACAAACGCCGTCCAAATCCTTCAAGCCACCATGTACTGTCTATCTGCTCAGGAAGAACAGCGAAGTAGGCGAGTATCACAAGCGCTTCCTGCGTCGGCTGCCGGAGAAGCTCCAGGTACTCGTCTGTCAGCCTGGACGGCCATACAAAGACGTCGGACGCCTCGCGCATCTCTGGTGACATGGCAGAGATGGCGTGGAACATAATGAGAAAGTCGTCAATGGCTTTTTGGTAGGCTTCCTTGATCCGAGGATCGGAATGTCGCTGGTTGATGACGGCTGACAACTCTCGCAGTTCCCGAACACCTGAGAGTGTGTCATGCGAGACTTGTTCACACCACCGCCACCTTCGATCCGATGAGAGTAAAACTCCCAGCGGACCGGCTCGCAGCGAGTCATTCACCATACGGGCAATGGAGTCGCTCTGCCGAGACACCGATATATACTGCGCGAGGCCGTATGGTCCCTCTGACACGGAATCATCGGTGTCATTTAGCGTAGCATACGTATAGAGACATGTTAGCACCGAGAAAATATATAACTCGGCCGCACTTTTTTCGTTGACATCGCTGAGTGCGGGAGTGGCTTTTGCTAAGCTGGATTTGTGATGTAGACCGGCTTGCTTAGTGCAGTATTCTTTTCTTTCTGGGTAGTACTGGGACTCGGTCAGCATGAACAGATGGAGCGGTGAAGGGCAGAAAGCGTACGTAGCCTATATGAAGCGCAGAGATAGCCAGAATCCCATGCATCACAAAGTCATGCTTGTAGCCAAGTTGGGGGACGGTTGTACTCCAAAGCCTTTGGACGCTTGGATCATTATGCAGTGTCGCAGCTGTCACTGTGGTGAAGTGGTGCAGCAATTCTAGATCTACCAAGTTGATTTCAAGAGGGCGCTTTGAAGCGAGCTTGGTGGTCCGTCAGAGTTTTGGAGAGTCGTTCCGAGAGGGCAGAGTGCTTACATTTCCATTTTGAGATACAGGGCTTGTTTTGAGAGGCGGGTATTCGCAGATCGATGAGTGCCTAGTGCAGTTTCCGCATTCTGGATGAGTCTCATCGCACTTTTGGTTCGGGAAATGTCCATGTTAGCTTCACTTATTCGACTTCTAAGCAATGATCAGATCAGATCATCGATTGAGGAGGAAATGTGCACAATAAATCGTGATCAAGTCGTCCAGCTAAGCGTACCTTGATCCTTCGCTTCTTACAGACAAGACATCCGTTCTTGGACTTCCGGTGGGCCTTTCTTGTAAGTGCTGGTTGCGGGGTGCCATACGACGCGGCACGAGAAGAGGCCTCTGAGGGGTTGTCACACATATCCATATTTGCTTGTTTTTAGGAGGCATAAGTAAACAAACCCGGTGTGATTTGGTGTAACAAGTCGTTAGCTTGAGCAAACAGAAGACGGACGCATTTGCTGATGGGCACAAAGTGAATAAATGGTAACTCCACGGGGAAGGGGAAATTAAAGCTGATATGTAGATATGGATACGATTGGAAGATATCCGACAAATACGAGATCTTTTTAAGGTTACGAGGACCGAGAAGACATAGTCTGGATGCGCCACGAAACGGGGATGTCTAGCCGAGCTGTTCGGTGTGATGGCCTGAGGCCACAAGGCAGGGTTCGGGTGCACGTGTACCATTAGAGGCTACATACGGTACCGGTACCGGTAGTTGTAGAATTCTTCTGCTGAGAAGAACTTAGAAATATCAACCCCACCTCACATACTCTCACCCCCAACATACTTCTACAAGTCTCGGGTCTGCGTCTGCTCCGGTCCCGCGTCTGCTCCGGTCCCGCGTCTCCCTCAATCGCGCTTCTGCTTTCCCAAATGACCATCATTTTCACTACCGGTACTGTATCATCGCGGAACATGACTAAGTGCTTTGTAATTAAAGCATTCAACTTACGCATCCTTCCAGAGCCAGCAAGAGGCTTTAAATCACGTGCGAGGCTTCGAGACGACTTACAACGTATGTACCGGTACCCACATACCAACCTTATTACCTACCTACCGTACCTACCTAATGACGTATTTGATGCCAACGATGCGTCCTCTGTCGGCAGACAAGTCCGTCAGGAACTCCTGGAACTTCTCATATACTCCGGTTAAATACCTCTGCTAATATCAAGAATGCCAAGGTGAGCGTCAGGCATTGTCATGCTTGAAGATATTGTCAACCATAACCCTCATCGCGCTCCTGACGAGCGACCAAAAGGAGGACTGGCTCCTCAATCTGGATCCAAATGACAAGCACAGCAAAACCAAATATGCCGCTCCTCTTGTATCTGTCTATTGACGGACCGGAAGAAGCTTGCTGATCGACACACAGGCAGAATCCCGGTTCGGGTCGACAACATGACCAAAACCCCACCATTCTACGTAATGGAGACTTCAGCCACAATGCTCTATCTGCTCACTCTATCTGCTCAAAGAAATCGATTCGAAGGGTAATTTCGGTTTCAGAGATGATCACGAACATTCGCAATGCTCGCTTGCACTGGCTGTTCTTCGGGCACGAAAGTGTCTGTCCAGGGCAGAATGCAGTGATTGTCAACAAACGGATTCGCCAACCGGGCCAACCTGTCCTAGGGCCATTGCGATTGTCCCGCTACCAAATTGTGAGATTGATTTACCAAACAGTTGCCATCGAGCTTCTCGAGATCCACCTTTCTGGCACCTATCGGCAGTACCTTGCTGGAAACGGCAAGGGAAAATACTGTGTTGCTAATATGGTATCTTGGCGTAAGTTTAACTATACCAAAACTTGACTTGACTGACACTCCGGGAATTTGGCTTGGATTTCGGGGTACAATTTCTCAGGCCAGATCAGCGAGGCTGATCTAAGGCCCTGTTTGGATAGGAAGTTAGGGATACACCTAACCTCGGAAATACAGGATGCACGGGTCACAAAAAATGAAAGTGATCACTTTTGCTGTACGGGATTTTCAGCGTTTGGCAAACATCGAGCTTCTATGATAACTATTCAATTATTACAAAGTTTGCTTACGTAGCTATTAACTAAATTGCGCTTTAATGATAATATAACCCAACCGTATGGTATTAATATCTACAGTATACTCAATAGAGCTAAAGAACTTTGTTCAGCTGTATTTATTCTTAAGAAGTTGCGTTGTTGCGGTTAACTATTGAAGTTTTTAATTATAACGAATAATTTCCGTATATACGTAGCAGATCGCGCTTCAATAATCAAACTGTGTAAAGTCGTAGAATTGATATTTATAATATAGTTAATAAACGTAAAAGGGTTTACTTAATGGGTTTGGTTATCAGACGTTACGTCATTACGTTATTAATTCTTACAAATGATAGCGCTACGAAAGGTCGCGAGAAGTGGTGGTCGGAACCTTGAAATTCTAGGAAAGAGACCGTTTTGCAGTATCTCTTGTTTTGGTGCTGTTCACCTGAAGAGGTTGGAGTTAGGCAAAAGTTCGACTTAAATCACAACACTTCTCAGCTGTTTATCAAACAGGGCTGAATTAACCGCTTTGCAAACTCTCTGCACTCTTTAGAAGATAAAGCCTTTGCCCTTGGTTGTTGTGCTAACAGAGTGCAGAATCGGCATAAAAACGTATTGAAGCGATTCCCGGTGACTCTGCTGGTGAATATTAGGTAGTCTTGAGTGAAAAGGTTTGCTGCCTAAATAGGTACTAACTAGGACGGCTCGCTTACCGCCGCCTCCCCTCTTTAACAGAAAAGAAAACCCGTTCCGACTTCGACTTCTACTCGGAAACATCGTTCTCTTTCTGCAACTTCCAACATTCCAGTCAAACTCCGACAATTCCTGTGCTCTCTCTCCATGGCCTCTTCAGCGGTCGGGCACAAGTTCCTTACCATGCCGTGTTTAATGGCACCTCCTCCTCCTCCTCCTCCTCCTCTGCGCCAATAGTAGGTCTTCCTCCTATGGTGTGTTGCCCCACATGGTTTGCTCTGCTCTCTGCTGCTCTCCTCCTCTCCTCCTGTTGTCAATCAATCTCTTGCCGTCAAGCATTCTGTTAGCCATCAATTCTACCCATCGCTTGCAGTTGAGCTCACAATTTTGCCCCAGAACATCTCCCGCGCTCCCAATGGAGCCACAGAGAAGAAAAGATGCGACCTGAATGGAATGTTTCGCAAGGAAGAATTACCGTGAGTGAGCAATACCTCATTCACTGCTGAATCTATCGCCGCTACAACGCTCTTCAATCATCACCGCGACGATCACTCTTCCGGGCTTGGTTGCCGTCTGCGATATTTGAATAGGGAAACTCAGAAAACGGAGGTCATCTGCTCCACAGCCTCGAATTCAATTCCAACAATTCCATCACTGGAATTCACTCCAAACAACAGCGCTATTGAGCGCTTGTGCACAAATCTCGAGCCGCATCGTCATTTGGTCCTCCTCAATACCAATAAACCTTGGATACAGCAAACATGGCTGATATTAGAGCAGCTTCTGCCGACGAATTCCTCGACCGACCATCTTGGAGAAACTTCAAGATGTTTCCAAGAGACGCTACTGCCGGGCCAGTCCCGCTGCTCACGCCAGTTGGGCTGGCAGACGACTTTGCGACGTGGTACGAGAGTTCAACTTGGACATGTGACAAGACATGGAGCAAGGAGGCAAAGGGGGGCGAGGGGGGCAAGGTGAGTCTTCTAAGACTGGAAGTATAATAGATATGCATCTACTGATCTGTATACCTAGACATGTATTGTTGAACAGCTGGAGGAACCTCAGGCTGTTGTGAGCGAGGATAACTCCAAGCAATCGACAGTACCAGCACCGCCAGCAACGCCAGCACCGCCAGCACCGCCAGCACCACCAGCACCACCAGCACCACCAGCACCATCAGTACCTCCACTGAATCCTCGGCAAGCCTTTATCGCTTCAATCTCCATTGCGCCAAAACTGTCGCCTTCATCCTCTTCCTCCTCCTCCTCCTCCTCCTCCTCCAGCCACCACGCCCACTCGCCGACCTCCTCACCTCCAACGACCCAGATCATCTCTTCAGATACCACAAATTCACCTACCTCTCCACCTCTATTTACAACCGAATTTTTCGAGGCTCGAAAGTCTAAAAAGGGTGGCTTCGGAGCATTTGCGACCAAAGACATCGAGGAGGGAACAGTGATCATGACCGAGGAGCCGCTTTTCAAAGCGAGCTTCGTTGGGGTATTTTTCGAGCTGGAGAAGTTGACTCTAAAGCAGCGAGAGCAATACCGAACTCTGTATGGCTTCAAACGGATGTCTCCCGTGAGAGATCTGGCAATCTACAAGACCAACCGGTCAGTAAATCATGACTCGGCCGGATTCCGAGCATTTAATTCGCTCCAGTCCCTGATTGGATTGGCTGAGCCTGGCTAATGTTAGTTGCAGATTTGCGACTCCAGAGGGAAGAGGCGGCATCTTTCTTCGAAGTTCCCGGTTCAACCATGCCTGCCATCCCTACGCAACCTGCAGGTACTCTATCAACCAGACGACCGGCAATCTGGTTGTCACGGCCTGCAACGCAATCAAGAAGGGTGACGAGGTCACCATCTCATACACCAACGCACCGTCCCAGCTTCCTGATAATTACGGCTTCTACTGTGACTGTCCCGGATGCCCACCCCCCAGAGAGGCAATGAAGCATGCTCAGTTCCTCCGAGGACCGGCCCCGTGAGCGTCACAACGCTGTCCGTTATCTGCACTTATGGCGTTGGCTTCTGAGAGGATGGGCTGTGGAAGGAGGAGCAGAAAAGATGGTGCAACGATTCCGCAGACTACAACATGGTCACGGCGGCGAGACTGGGTGAGGAGTGAGGAGGTTGGCTTGGCGGGCACTGGATGGACCTTTAACGCTTTTTCGTATTTCCATGTCACATGAATTCAACATCGCGTTTCACATTCACGGTTATTGCACCGCATTTACGACCCCCTTATTAGAACGTGCTACGATCCCGCGGTAACACACAAATGATCTGGTCCATGCGCGCATGAATGAGCGTGCTCTCGCGACAGGCCTGGCGTCTGGTAACCAACTAACCAACGAACTGCCCGCGCGGCCATGCCTTTTCCGAACCGGTTTAATGATACGCAATTCCCGAATCCGATCTGGCTACCGTATCTCTCGGCGCGATGGATGATTCGAGACCTAGACCCTGCTGCCGCTGCCGCTGCCGCAATCTCCCCAGCCTATAGGTATTTTACATCTGCGCCGCCAACGCCAACGCCAACGCCAACGCCAACGCCGACCTTCGAACGTACGCACGCCCCCGTCCTCACTCTCAGCCAGGACGCGACTTTGAAAAAAAAAAATAATAAAAAAATAATAAAAAATAATAAAAAAA